AGCAAAGTAACCTGCCACGGCCATCATGCTCCAAGGAACAGCACTAAACCATGCTGCTTGTCTTAAATCAACATGATATATCTACAAGTAAAAGAGAAACTTTTGATTTCCTATCTTCAGATGCATAATGTTATTTATCGCATGTCATGTACAGACATAGTTTTTTACCGTCTTGAAATAAATGGGCATCCATGAAAGTATAACGAAAAATCCCTGCATGAGGTAAAAAAAAAAAAGGTAAATGATTTCGTAAAGGACACAGACTACAGACTATAGAGCAGGCGAAGAATGTCTTTTCCACCAAAATGCACCTATAAACAGCCCATAAAGATATGTGACAATAGTGGAACACAAATTCATCTCTCCAATTTCAAAGTTCGGACTAACCTTCTCTCAATTTTCTAAAAGACCCAATAATCTCACAACTTGCTCCGAAAATCTTCAGAACTTAAAACAATGCTTTCTAATTATCAAATAACCAATTTCCCAATTAAAGAGTATCATTTGATCTCTCAAAGAACACCTTGTTCTCCTACCCAGTACCATCAAAGTGGTAACTTTTAATTCAATTATGAGACACACACAAAATCACCTTTTTGTTTAACCAATTTTCAGGATTAACCAATCAAAGATACTAGTTCAAAGACAACAGAAAGTTGATGCAGTGCATAAATTACCCAGCTGTGCATTGCATTTGCAACAATCAGAGTCCATGTTGGTAGCTTAGAAAGCAAGCGCTTAAATGGAGGGATAACTTTGCTTTTCTTTGATTTATCCTTTATGACAGATTGCATGTTCCCGTCATTCTGTATGTACTGCAACTCATATGCTGATATTTGATGGCATTTGTCCGGGGTGCTTGAGGTTGCAGATATCCAGACCAAAACCCAGAGAAACCCAGACAATCCAAATATAACAAATGGACCATACAAACCACCCTGAGACATGAGAATGGGAGAAAGTGTGAGTCCAATAGCACTTCCAAGCTGGAATCCCGCCATTGCAAGTCCAACAGCTCTTGATCGTTCTGTTTGAGGAAACCATCTAAAATCAAAGGTTCAGAGATACCCTTAGCAGTTTGGACATGCCAAATCTTCAACACAATAAACTTGACAAAGAATATATCATGTAAATCATGATAATTATGGATTCAATTTCATAAATTGCATACCTTGCAATCATGTTGTTCATGCATGGAAGAGCTACCCCTTCTGCAATGCCAAGCAACATCCTCATAGCAAGAAGTGCGCACAAGGAATTTTCTGCAGCCCAGGGGGTGAGAAAGGTGGCTAATGACCATAAAGTGACACCCCAAGCCATGACAACTTTGCCCCCGTAAAGGTCCACCAAAGTTCCTCCAGCTATTGGCGATATTAGGTATCCCCAGAGAAAAGATGACTGCCATTAGTAAGTAAATTAATGAGATAGCCTATAATGTTTAGAAGCTGTTTTTAAAACAGATCTTGAGCCACTCACTGTACTCCTTTTTGTCAAAGAACAAGGTTTCTTTACCAATGTGATTGAATTTCACTCCTAAGTGGGTCCAACTGTCCTTTTATTCTCCATTTAACAGTTAGATGATCACTTCAAAAGATCCTACAGAAATGTAATGCTCACGTTCTCAAGCAAGACAGGGAAACAAACAAATGGCACTTGACATCCTGTTTCCAGCATTCAAATATATGCCATTGAAAACTTAATAATCTATCTCTATATGCGCATTTAAATTCAGCAGGAGAATTTGTATACAAGTGGTATGGACAGATATCCATTGGTTTTATTCTTTAAGAAACAAAAGGATCCAAAAGCTTGAGTCACAAGAACAAGAACCACAACATGACAAAGACAGGTTATTTAGGCAAATAGACAAAAGTAAATGCTGATATCTCTTGAACTCCTGGAAAACATTACTGGGATTTAGAAAAACCAACAGACACAAAATGCTGCAAGAATTTTCACCTTAAAAATGAAATACTATCTTCAAGGTGAAGAACTCCAATCATATGCAAATATGACTTACAAATCAGCTTGTATGTTCTGATGTAAAGTCAATTCCAGTAAATATGAAACACTAATCACAGTCTGCTTTTTTTACGTCAAATCCTCTTGTTCTCGAGTAAATAGCAAAACAGCAAAAAGGTAGAATGACTTGAGCACAATCGCCAGAAATACAAAGATTGCTACCTTCCACGCAAAATAAATGTTGTTTTTTATTTTTATTATTATTCTCTTATGTGGCCTTTTTCTGTTTATAGTTCATAACATCATCATATAGTTGACCTTTGTATTCAAAGGCATTCTCTAGGACAAATATCCAGAATAAATTTTCTATAATAGTAAGACCAACATATCCCGCATGCAAACGCTCTCAAATTCCAAGAGCTAATATTCAAAAATGCTGGATCACATACTCAGCAGTTAGGCTAAATGAACCCTTTTCTACCATTCCGCTTTATTTAAGGTTCATACTTTCTTTCGAATTCCAAGAGTTAATCTTCAAAAAGGCCAAATCACATACTTTGGGATTAGGCCAAATGAACCTTTTCTTCCATTCCGGCTTTATTCAAGGCTCATACTTTCTCCAAGTTCAAAAGAATAAATACATTTCTTCAAGAAACATTGACATTTTTATTCCAGTTGTGGGTTGAGATGAATAGGCAGGAAAACATCACCCCATTTCATGTTGAACAGTTATTTAGAAATGTTAGGAAACACCACAACAGTAATCCAAAGCTAAGTCAGGAAAATAAAACAACGATATAGCAGTCATAATTTTTTTTAAAAAAAATTACCTGGACAACCCCGGCGAAAGATTGACGCCAGCCATGAGAAAGCGAGAGGGGAACGATAGCGACCGACATGACGACTCGGTCAGCATTACAAAGTGCCAAAGCTAAAGCCAGCATAGCCACCACCTTGACTCTCTCGGAAGTAATAAACTCCACCGCAGTCGGCTGACGGAATTCGCCTCCGCTGCTACTGGAAATCGACCTAGAACCATTCGACGAAGAAGCCCTAATCGGTAGAATCCGTTCACTTCGAAGTCTAGAAGAAAATTCAGTTGCACAAGCAGTGCTGGTTTTACTCCACCAATTACGATGGTTCAATTTACAGGGAAGCTTAGAAGCACTAGAATTAGTTAATGGCAGTTGCCTTTCCGAAGGTTTAGGGGTTTGAGGGCTCTTAATCGGGGTTGGGCTGCTGACGGGAAGCGGGCGGCGGAGAGCAGCCGGAGAATTCATTCTGCAATTGGGTCCAAGTCAGCAATTTATACGAAATCCATTCCCTGAGTTGGGCGACATACTCGGTGTTGAACTAAATTCGAGTAATCTATCAAGTGAACACTAGTGATCAGGAACATAGGCTGCCGCCTGAAATACTACTCCTTAATACTGGAACCTAAAGTCGAAATAGCACAACAGTTCTGCTACTCCTACGTAGCGACGAAAATGCCGTGGTGTTCTTCTTGGCAGTTTATTAATGGCTAAGCTAAAGACCATAGCAGGAATCTTATAAAGTTTTGGCTTTAGATAAATCGAGCAGAGAAGGAACCTGTAGACTAGTAAATAAGGATGAGACTAGCTCATTGGCACGAGTCTGATGTTTATCTTCTGGGCTTGAAAGTTGGTACTGCTACTATTATTGTTGATGCGTTCGGTTCGCATTGTCGAATCTAATAATAGAGTGTGATTCACCTTACATGTTTGGTTTAAGGGTTCGTTTGGGAGTGGATGATTTGGAGAGAAAAGAAAGGGAAAGAAGAGAAAGTGAACATTTCCTTCGTTTGTTAGTTTTAACTAGGAAAGAAAAGAAGAGAAATGGAAGGATTCAAGAAGATAAATAGTAAGTAAAATTTTTCCTCCCAAATTGGAGAGAAAGTTGGAGAAAGCTTATGAGAGTTTTTTAAAATACCTATTTTATCCTTAAAAATGTCTTGAACAAATATTTAATGACTTTTATATCCAAAATCATTCCACTAATTCTCAAAACTCCCAAACAACATAACAATCCCTTCTCTTCTCTCATAACTTAAGTTTTCCTTTCTTCTCTTTTCTATCCTAAACTCCCAAACTTAGCAAGAGTAAATAGATTCTATTTTTATTAACAAAAAATTAATTTGAAACCCGATCTATGAGACGGGAATGATTCCGCACGTCAATCAAATAAATTATAGGTGCAGTTATATCATTATTAACTTTGATGCGTATTCCTGTCCCTTGAACTAAATTTCCAAACATTTTTTGTTAACTTTGGACAAAGGATTAGCTTTGAAGGAATAGGAAGGTACGGAGAGGAAAGAAAAAGAAATGAAATGGATGAATAAAGTTTTTGATGTTTGGATTAATCTTTTGAGAGGGAAAGAAAAGAATAGGGAGAGATGAGATCTCCTTAATTTTTGTCGCCCAACTTTCTGCTTCCTTTTCTTTTCCACTAAAGTCCTCTCACTTTTCCTTCCTTCCCTCCCCTTCAATTCAAATGGTGCCTAATGCACTCTGTCTTTCTTTTCTTTTATCTTTTGTATTTTGCAAAGATGTCAGGGAACAATTTTAGAATGTACTAAATAATTGAAAGAAAGCAAGAAAGTCGTAAAACTCAAGTATTAAAATTTTAATTTCATGCATTAAACTAATAAGTAACAGGAAGTAAAGATTATGATTCCTATTAAAAATATTTTATTCAATGAAAATTATACATTCATCATACAAAATAACTTCAACACAAAGGCATTTAATACGAGATTGGGAGAGTATATTACTAGACTTTGATGTTCTACTTGTAGCCAGCAATCAGAGCAGGTAGTGCAAGATTAAAAGTTGCTAGCTTCGTAGCACCTATTACTTGATACATATGGCCATCTAGATCAATCACCGGGGTCGGCGCAATAGCCATGAGAGCTCTCAGAGTTCTCTTGGCTGTCAAGTTCAAAATTCCACACACTTGAGATTGAGAAGAATGTTTGAGAAGAATGTGAGAAGGGGTGGGAGGTCAAAAAGGATATATAATAATAATAATAATAATTCCAGCTTGAGCTTCTTATTCCAGTTGTAGCAAAATTTTGCTAAAACCATGACTCGTTTGTTGCACTGTTATCATGATCACATCCAATTATTTTCAGAATCCGATCCAGTGCCTTGTCAAATTACTCTGTAATGACAAATTTCAAGATACAAGTGCAATCATCTCTTTGGTAAGATAAACAATTCGTCATCAGCTGCTCTATCTGACTCTGGATGATTATACCAACCACTAATCCAGTTCCAACATTAAAGCAGAAGCAGTTAGCAGACGAATAACTACTTCCTTTCCCCGTGTTTCAAATAGTGCAGAGACCATTGAACCCCTTCCCCTTCTGTAGAGTCAGCGGCATTAAGTTCGGAAAACTTCCGAACAAATTACAGCTCGTTCCATTCAATGTGCAGAAGAGCTTCGGTAGAATGGGAACTCTCCAGGCATCGAAGCAAACAATTAATCCTGGAAAATCTTAGTGATCTCAAAGTCTATCTGTATGTCCAGCTAGAATTCACTCCAGACTTCCCATTTGTCTGGTATCTCGTTCCAGAAGAATATCTTCCAGTTCCATCTACAGAAATAGAAAAAGCCGCTACCCCATGACCTACTAATTTGAGAAGGTAGCAAAAGGTTCAGCTTTTCACCGTATGTCCATACTGTCCCTGGCTATAATCCTACAATGTGAAGCTGAAGTTATGAAACCATAATTTTCTCCAAATATCAAACCGTAGATTCTATGATACATAATGACATAGAAAATCAACAGCCACAGTTGATACCTGCAGGAGACAATCTTCAGGCAACCTATGAAACCCTAGGGAGCCTCATGGCATGTTTTTTCTGGTGGCAAACTTACACTCTGTTGGTGCAATTGTCACAATCGGAATATATTCAGCCAACATCACTGCTGAAAATTAAGAATGAAGCATCAAAAGATTTCAGTCAACCGTGAACCCACTTCGACTTAATTATATCAGAAATTACCGCCCAAGTGTGCTGTCTTACTAACCAAACAACCGCAGTCTATGTCACAAACTCCATTAGACAGGCTGATACAACAGAAGTATACATCTTACACTGGTTGCAATCACTCTACAAAGCCACTATCCTTCACAGTTGATGCTTTGGGAGAAAAGTTCATCACCAATTACCTATTTTTTTTCCAGCAATCTGACTCTCCAAGTACAGGAATACAAAGCTCGGTGTCTGTTGCAGACATCCTTCTCAGGATTCCACAATTACTTCTGCCTTTGTACACTGTTCCTGTGGTTACTGTTGTCACTTGCAGCTCATTGTTTTTAGCTGACAGTGTACTCTAGATACTGCTAATTTAATTCCAATGTATGAAGATTAAATTAATTTTACTTGATGTGCAATACCACCAAGTGACCATTTGAAAGATTAGATTTCTTGTGCTATCCACAGGTCAGGTATGTGAGCTCACCAATTAAACAGAGTTAATAACAATAGATGAATTTGGCATTGTTTCTTCTGCTCTGAAGTTTGACCATGCATCAAACACAATAACACATACAGCAGATTCAAAATTCAAGTATATTTAACAACTAGATGCAAACTTGTAGGAAGATCTGTACATAAGCACAAAAGGCAACTAAAACTTAAAAGATTTAAATCTCCACCAGTTTCTTTCAAATTTCAAAATGAACGCTTATTGCTAACATGCAATTATAAATTTCATTATCTAAGTAGAAACATGTCCCTGATGTCAAAATAAAAGTTTCTGCATGTATTACATACATCCAGTGATCATAACATCACATTTTGCTTGCATGTTTACCAAACAGTGAATGTCGGCCTTCGGCAATAAGCTCTCCTGTTAATTTGTTCCTCACGATCACAAGCGTTCCAGAATAACCACCTTTTCGACCTAAAAGTGTCGAGACAATCTCCAATTCATCCTGAGAAAGTAAGATATTCAACTAATCAAGTTAAAAACCAACATTTGCCAATCAAACAATTTCACTTTTAGCCAATATGTGACGCACAAAACCGATTAGCCCCTGATCTGGTAATAACAAGAATACCCTCTCTTTTTTTCCCAATTTGCAATAAAAATACCAATATATTGGATCGATAGCCCTTATCGAGTTATCAAACAATCCTGCTTAATAACGAAGAGATTTATTAACGCACAAATGAAAGTATTATTAACTAAAACCAGAATATCTGGATTACTCGTTCATTAACATGAACATTAGATATTCCAACATGGAAATTGAAATCATTTGAGGAGGGCTTACATCAAGTTTGGCAGTTGAGAGGTAAGAAATGGACATATCCACTGAAACATTCATGGGGAGTCCTTCCACGTGGACCAAAGCACCACCCATTTCATCCACTAGGTTGGCCACCGCCCCTGATGCCAAATTTCCATTCCTATCCTGAACGAAGACCCACAAAAATAAATAAATAAAATGACTGAAAAAGGTTCACAAATTTTAGTCAAAATTCAAATAGAAAATAAAATACCTACATAATCAGTTGAAACTACTCAAAGAACTCAGCTGTAATTTTGCTAATATCTCAAAATACAGGGAACTTTACTTACGATGAGGCGAGAAGGGACTTTGAAAGTGCAAGAAACGTAGCCAGCTTCGACTCGGTCGACTCGGATACCGCGAAGGGCGTAATACTCGTAGAAGCTAGAATCGAGATGGGGTCGGTGAGGAGGGAAGGTGAGTTGGGATACGCGGTCGGACTCTTCCTTGGCTAGCTGAAGAGATTCCCTGGCGTTCTCCATTTTGGGTCCTATCTGAGCTCTGGCAGGAGTATGGCATACGAGTCCATGATTGTCTTCAATATAACGCAATCACCCGATTTGCTAGTCAAGGCCGTCCGAAGGCGCCGTTTGGATTGAGGAAAATAAAACGAAATGAAGGGAATGGGCATCAGTGGGAAAAAAAAAAGGGTACAGGAAAGCCGTTTCTGGCTAATAAATGAAAGAAATTGTAAAGTTTTTGCTTAGATTAAGGAAGAAACGAAAAGAAAGAAAAACATCAACTGTTACCGAACACAAAACTATATCCCAACAAAATAATTAGACTATTTCCCTCCTCAGAAATCAACATAAATTAAAAAAAAGAAAAGAAAAAACTAATCCCCTCCAATTCCTTTCGTTTTCTTTCCCTCCCATTACCTCAATCGAGATTATGCCAAAGTTTACAAGGTTTCTAGAATTATAAAAAACGATGTTATAAAAACAGATTGACGGATTGCATCCTTCACGTGGTGTATTGCTAATTAATCATTTAATAGTGATTAGTCGTTGACAGACTATTGATATTAGTAATGTATATTGAACATCTAAAATTTTCCCTCTTATTCAATATTTTTATTTATTATTGGATTAACTTTTTATGTACTGACGGTTTAGTAAAATTTTTTTTACACCAACGAATATGAATGTATATCATATGTGCATTATTTGAATTTTAAAATTGAATTCATTAGCATTTGACATGTTTAAACCTACTAGTGTAAAAAAAAAAATTGTACACCGATAATATACGAAAAACTTTTACTCTTTTATATTTTTCCGATTTGTTGGTTTTTCGACATTAGTTGACCCTATCATTGGACAACACAGTTTCTACGTTGTCTCTCCCACTCTTCTCTTTTCATCCCCAAATATCTTATCCATTTTTTTCCCATTCAACCGCTTAGCCAAGTAATTAAAAGTGCCAATTTTCTATGGGTCTGTCAAACAAGGGAGTAGGCATTGGTTAAGAGAGAATTTATTTGTTGATATTTTAATGTAACATAATAATTATTAGTATGTGTATTTATATATGATAAATTAAATATAATTTAAGTGTACTAACAAATGCTACATTAGAAAAATCCGTCTTTTATTTCTTTCCCTCTCTAGTGTTGTTAAGGTTGGTGTAAATAATATAATGGATGGGATGAATATCTGTGGTTTTTTTCCTAAGAAAAAAGCCAATATTATTGGCATCAATATTCCCCCTCCAACTCTTGACCGGTTTTAAAGTAGTACTACTTCTTTACCCATAAATTCTAGCTAAAGCTATCTTCCCACATTTCGTTGATGTGGACCAAAGGTTAAGTTGTCCTTAATATCAAATATTAATTAAAAGGATTAAAAGAGGGAAGGTAGAGACAGGTGAGTTGTTGGGTGGTATGCTGAGAACATTAATTACTCGTTGCGAAATGTTAGCCAAGCAATAAATCAAGGAGAAGTTTCTGTTTCCCAAAAAGAAAAGGAAAACATTAGTAAGACTAAACAGAGATGAATGTTATTTGCACTCTATTTTTTGTTATTTGCATTCTCATAATTTGTTTTATAATATAGTTTAATAAATGAAAACTATATGATAAAAATAATAGTGTAAATGTGATTATCAAAAATAAATCAAGGGAATTGATGTTTCGAACTCCCTATTTAGTTTCTTGCACTCCAAATCACTCACTAAAAATAGTCTTTAAAGAGTGCTAGAGGCTAATTAAGAAGTGCAAATATTACTTTTCTAAATCAAAGGTATGTACTATTTAAAATGTAGTTTAGGTGTTAAAATTTTGAAAAAATAAAATTAATTAGAATTATGCACAAAATGCAAGAGAGGATGATGATTATCGATGCTTATTCGCATAATTTGTTAAGTGTGATTTAAATGTATTACTCCCTCCGTCCCACTTTGATAGTCCTGTGTTCCTTTTTCATCTGTTCTAAATTGTAGTCAACTTTCCAATTGAAGAATGTAGTTGTATTTTAATTTTCCTAAAATACCCTTATTCAATGTAAGTTGTCGTTACTATAAACCTACCACATTTAATGAGAGTTGACTCTTTTTTTACCATCAATTCAAGTTCTCATAAAATTGTACTCTATTTAATGTGATGATATTTTAGGAAAATAGCAATCTAAATTTACTTTTCCAACAAAGTTAACTACTTTTTCTTAAATTGTGTGAAAAAAGAAACAAGACTATTAAAGTGGGACGGAGAGAGTAATTAGTATTCAATAAACACTCATTAGAAAAATCTATAAAATCAATACTTAAAAAAAAAAAAAAAAAAATCAGTGTGCAAATCCCAAGCCCCAAAGGCAGCACAAGGGAACCCCGGATTGAGTGAGTGAGGGTTTATCGAAGGAAAGGCCCAGCGTCTGTCTGTTCACACTTAGTCATCCATTCGTCTTCGGATACCTTGTCTTGCAACTCTGCCATTCTCGTTTTCTGCACTGTTACTTATCACAGTACCACTACTGTCACCACACCTCTTAATCTTGTTTTCTTCCATACTTCTTCACACCATTTCCGCCCCTGTTTGCAGCTCCACCTTCTAAAAAATGAACCCATTTCGGATCACCCATTTCCAAATCCAATGACTCGTAATAAACCCGAATTTCAAGCCCATCCACCTCGTACCCGCCGCCTTTCCTCATGTCACCTCCACCCGGCTGATCCGGCCACCGGCATTTGCGCTTCTTGCTTACGCGAGCGCCTCTGCGGCCTCGACTCTTCCGCTGACCTCCTCGAACCCTCTTTTTCTGCTGCAGTCATCCCGTCTCTCGGCAATGGCGACCTCGCCGGAGCTGGACCAGTTAATTGCCTGAACAAAGCTGCAGCCGCCACGTCGTCTCCGGAGTTGCGCCGTTGTAGGTCTGTTTTTACTGCTAAATGCGAAGCTTCCACCAGCTTCGCCGAGCCCAGGCGCAGGTCCTGCGACGTTAGGGCTCGAAACGTGAAAAGTCTGGCCCATCTGTTTGATGTGGACGATGAATGTAGTAATGGATCTAACAGGGAGTCCAAGGTTGAATCCAAGAATATTACCACGGCTGCTGCTGCTGAGTTCGGAGAAGAAATTAAAGTAGAAAATGCAGGAGGAAACAGGGATCCCCATGTTGCATTCAATGGGGACGAGGAGGAGGAGAAGGAGGATGATTTGGAAGAAGGAGAGGTCAAGACGATGAAAGAACACATAGATCTAGAACTGCAGAGCAAGGGCCAGAGGTCGAAAGATTTTAAGGAATTAGCTGGAAATATAAGGGAGGCAGCTTCTGTTTTCAGCAAGAAATTGCAAAAATGGAAGCAGAAGCAGAAGAAAAAGGTTCTTTATAGCAATGATGGAGGCACTGTTGATGGGATTAATTGTGAAGTAAATGGTCCAAAAGGGAAGAAATTGGAGGAAACTCAGTCTGTGGCTGCGGATTATGCAATGGGCAGGAGATCTTGTGATACAGAGCCTAGGTTTTCTGTTGATGCTGGGAGATTGTCTGTGGAGGGCGGGCGCTTTTCGATTGATGAGCCGAGAGCTTCTTGGGATGGGTATTTGATCGCTAGGACTATTCCCAGGCTTGCTCCGATGTTGTCAGTTGTGGACAATGCGATTTTAAGTGGCGGAAATAGGATTGATCATCATAGAGTATCTGTTGACGGGCAAATGCATTCGATAATGGAAGATGAGACCAGTTCTGGAGGGTCAGCTCAGTCTAATTCGGATTCCTCGTCTTCTCAAAGGCGAAGTAGTTTTGATAGGTCAAGCTCTGTTAGGAGTTTTGGGAAGAAGATGGCGGTATTGGATGGGGATTATGCGAAGGCCTCTCCTGGAAGGCTGGTAATTACGGAGAGGGAATTGAAAGATTGGCATTTGAATTCGATCAAAGATGATCACAAGAAGAAATTTGAATCTTCTTCCAGGGAGAACTCTCCTGCTCTTGAAGATAGAAGTAATTTGGGGTCAAAGAAGCCTGTTAGGTGGCGAAGGGTGTTGAACGTGTTTGGTTTCAAGCAAAAGTCCTGTGAAAACAAGTTTGAAAAACCAATGGGGGATTGTTCACCTGCTCAGGCTTGTGAGAAGCAAGAAAAGGAGGCTGGTGAAGAAATCAAAGCTGCCACTCATTGGAAGCTTATGAGGAGCAGTAGCATTGTTGGTGCAAGACGTTCTTGTGAGGTGATCAGGTCAAGTAATGGTATGATGAGTCTTGGTGATGATTCTGACTGGGCCAACAGGAGCCGGGAAGAATTTGTGCTGGGACGAAATCACCGAGCTACATATGCTTCAAGCAATTTGGATGATGGTGTTTTACCATTTTATTTGACACCCTTGAGGACTTCCAGGAACGGGAAATCGAGAAGGGACAAGCTGCAAGACTCACATTTTGTTGATGGGAGTCTTTTACGGCTCAACTGAATATTAAAATTTCTGAGTGCGCATTGAGTTAATACTATGACTTTGTAAGGATTACTAGTTGTTTCTCTTCTTGTTTATGGGTGATAGCAAGGCAGGACCAGCATGTTGTAACTCTACTGTTTTTAGGCAGTATCCATGACATAATAATACGAGTTACAGCATTTTTGTGTCTTGGTTTTCCACATGTTTGTTCCTTTTCATTGTTGGGCTCTTATTATGCCTAAGAAATAGTGAAAGTTACCAGCAGCAATATGTGCTTTGATGACATTTGTTATTGTGTAAGAATTACTCGGTACTATAGATATCTAAAGTGCTCTTATCAGCAGCCTCCGATCCCCAATTATGGTGGCGCAAATTTCCGGAGAAGTGCAGGTTCAGTGGCTTATTCAGCCCCCTACTATATTGCATCCCCCATACTAATGAAAATTTTGCTTTCGAGGACAAATTACAATAGGCATTTATACAGATGGATTAAAAAAATGTAGATCTAGTGGAGGCGCGAGACTCGACTCAAATAAAGATTCGCAATTTGCGCTTCTTGGCACCGGTTCTAATGAAAATCCAACTTGTTCTCCCCCATACTAATGAATGAGAGTCAGATATAGCTTTCGAAATTAAGCCTTTAAAATGGCACAATCGCCTTTCAGCTGAGACATCAAAACGCACAACAACAAACAAGTTGATAGATATGAATGAACTTTACATGCCTTCAAGAAAACTGAGTTTGGAAAACCTAGTCCT